CACTCTATCTTGGAGGTACAATTTATGTGGATAGTATTTATTTTTTTTACAATAACAAGCGGGAATGAAAACAAGCAAAAATGAAATAAAAGTAACGACTTTCTACTTCTTGTCTTTTTTTTTTGATGTAAGAAGTAGAAAGTACGGATAATTATGTGAAAATGTAAGGAGTAGAAGTAAAAAGTAGGCTGAAAATAATTACTCAAGTAAAGTACAGATACCCAAAAATTGTACTTAAGCACAGTAACAAAGTATTTGTACTTAGTTACTTTACAGCTCTGCTTTTAAAGCAGTAATATGAAATATTAAGGAGCTTTTAATGAAGTCATACTGAACCACTGTGTCTAAAATATAATTTTACTGAACAAATTGACCCGCAGAGACTCATCTTTTGAATTATTTGATGAAGACAAAACTTCATCTGTTTATTCAGTGTAGTTCAGTGGAACCAGCTGATGGAAGGAAAATGAATGAATCTTACATTTTATCTCTTAGAGTCATGACACTAATAATACAAATAGATTCTTGTTGAATGTGAGTTCAGTTATATAATGAATATCTGAATATGTACATCTGCATGTTTAATTACTTTTGGAGTGACAGAATCCCAGTTTGAGCAGGCGGGGCTGCGTCCTGAGCACTTTGTTTAAAACCCTCCGATCTCTCCTCAGTCTCCTGATTCCAACAGGAACACTTTGTCTGCAGGCCGGGTAAGTCTGATTAATATCAAATCCAGTGGAATTTTAGAAGGTTATTAGTTTTAGAAAATGAGGAATGGTAGTTTTCTGTTGATCGGATATTTACATTTTTGTTGGTCTGCGTAAACTGATTTGATTAAGATCTGCTTCTTAAAAATGTTAAATATGAGGGAAAATGCACTAAAATCTCCTTTTTTTTCTACATCTGATTAAAATTGATCTCAAAGTTGACCTAAAGCTTTTGAAAATTTGTAAAGTGCTTGGTCTTAAATGTGCCACAAAATACAAATATTTCTTTAATATGAGGACTAAAATATTGAAAATTCTCCTTGTTATGGAATTTTGATATATTTCAAAGACACTTTCTGGAGAACAAAAAGGAAAATGTGAAGATCTGAAGACTTTTGTTAAATATTTGTTCGTATTTAGTAAAAAATACAACATTTAGGCTTTTTGTATTGATTTATTTTAAGTTGGATCTTATGCATATTTGTTTTAATCTAAGTTTAACAGAAGCACTGAAGCAAGTTTACCAAAAATGACCATAGATTTTTGACCATGGCTGGAATATGAAAAAAAAATTGCCACTTTTTTTTAAGTTAAACCTTTCAGCAGGACGTCTCTAAGGTCCACAAGTAAAATAACAACCAAAAGAGAAAGATGAATGTTAGATTTTATATTCCTTGTTTTATAAAATGATATATTTTAAAGCAAAATTCTTAATTTTTATCTTGCTTTTGAAGAGCATCTGTCCAAAACAGGGGTCCCAACTTTTTTATTTTTTGGTTTATGTTGCTCGTTCTGAGCAGCTGTCTGGCTGTACACACTGCGTTTGCTGAAGTGGACCTGCCAAGTCCGGCTCTTATTCCTTAGATGGTCTTGGAGATAAAAGCTGCGGCCACGTTAGGCTGTCATGAGTAAAACCACAGGCTCTTTTCTACGAGGACTGGAAACATGGAAATCCAGAGCATCCTCACTTGCTTTTCCGGATTGTTAAAATCAGATTGTGTGAAAGTGAAAACAGATGTGTTTGCAGGAGCAGTAGTTATTTATGATGCATTTGAGCCCGCCATCGTCTGGCAGCATGAGCGCATAAACAGAACAATGTCAGAAAATAAATAAATAAATAAAGAAAATCACAGATTTGCATTTAATGACATGTTCAGGACATGAAACCTGCTTTGGTTTAACACAGTCCTAAGATTCATGTCTGCAAGACATTTATGATAAACACAAGATATGTGCTGACTTCTGACTGAACACACAGGGCTCTTTACACAGTTTGGGCCTAGTTCTATCATTTGAAGAAATTTATATCGCCCAACAACTTTCGTGTCAGATTTTACATCATTTTATATTGAGAAAGGACAGTACTATTGCCACTTGAAGAAACCTTTATGCACAATCTCATGCAATATTGTAAGTATGTGCGGTGGATAAATCTGTGCTACTACCACACCAAACTTTACTGCAACAGCAAAACTGTCTTGAGTTGAAATGACTCTAGAAGTTATGATTTGTAGAATGCCAACTAATTAATGTTTATTGAAGATTTCATTAAAACCCATTCAGTTATTTGAGATATTTTGCTAACACACAAATGGTGTCGATTCCAAATAGTTAAAGATAAATTGTTGAATTTAGATCTTATAAATCTATTAGTGTTTGACATATGTGTTGGGGATAAGTCTCAATTGCTACCACACCGAATTTTATTGCATTGTGTGTAAAACATGTCTGAATTATAGAGTTTTTATAATTTCTAAATTCAATTGACTGTGGCACTCATCGTGATCTGGTTTTACTCCAGAAGTTTATCATTTGTAGAATACCAACCAATTAATGTTTATTGAAAATTTTATTAAAATCCATTCAGTGGTTTATGAGATATTCTTCTAACAGACAAGCAGTGTTGATTCCAAATAGTTAATGGTAAGTTGTTAAATTTAGATACTGTAAATCTGTTAGTGCTTGAAATACTTGTTGGGGATAAGTCTCATCTACTACCATTGCATATGTTGGCTCGGTATCTATAAAAATGGCTGATTTATAGCTATTTTTTGTGTTTTTAAGGTCAGCTGACAGTTGAAACCATCTTAAATCGTGTTGAAAACCAAATCAGTCGTAGACGCACATCCAGTGGTTAGTTCTTGCAAGTCACATTAAAATTGGTCCACTGGTTTATGAGATATTTTGCTAACAGACAAACACACACGCGCAAAACCATCAATGTCCACCTTTTTCACCTTTATGGCAGCGAATATTTTAAAGCAGCCAGATCTGCCAAACAAGGAAATGATACAGGCTAAATTCTGGTCTGTTTTTTTTTTTTTTTAATTTCTGAGCACAAATGAGTCTTTGTCCCTAAAAAGTGCTGTGATTTGACAGAGAGGGATGTTGTATCGTTAAGAGAGGAAGTAGTTTTCCACCTGAGCAGATCACAGAGGTAAAAGAAAGTGGCTCTGGTGTTAATGGAGTCAATTGTCAGCAATCATTTTGTCAAACTAAACCAAATGAGTTGGCGACAGATTCCGCTCTGAACATCCCTTCCTGTTTGGAACGACTAAAAATCTAAAATCAGTCTTCAACAGTTTATTTCTCCCACATGAACAGGTCCATTATGGAAAACGGATTCATCATCACAACAATTGGAAAAAGGCATTCCAGTGTTGCCACTTTCCACAGCAGCAGGTATTTTCTAGAGTAAACTTTGGTTTCTTTTTGTGGCTCACCAAGCTGGGACATGACAGCAGACAGTCCCTGTGTGCTTCCATAAAAGGAGGCCGAGGACGCCGTCTGGGATGCAGAGCAGGACACATGTGATTCCACTGAGTTCCCAGTTAAAATGAAACGGCTTCACCAGAATAGTCAGTGTCCTGCTGGTTTTCATTAAATCCAACCAATCTCCATCACAGCTTGATTTACAGTTAAGAAGACGAGATGCTGACCATTTTCTCACTTCACCAGCTGATCTTTATCAGGCACAGAACGACACAAAAGCCTTTCGGGCCCGTCTGCACACAAACAGTTTCAGGAGTCACAGAGAAGGTCATCACGACAGTATACCGTGGCTCGTAAACTGTGTGGAATTTGAATCCCGGTTGTGGACTTTTTCTTATGTGACCATGTTTGGTCATGAGGAGGAAGCTTGCAGCTTCATGACTGATGGCAAACGTTTCTCCGGCGAATGTTTATCTGTTAGCGTGTTGAAGTGCTTTCTCCTTCCTTCGACAAGAAACTCCTCTGCTCATGGAGGACAGAGTTTCCCAGTTGCACTCCTCGTTTCTCTGTTTCTATTTATGACCGATGCTGTAATTTATAGTGAGAGCAGGAATCCCGTTTTTAATTTCTGAAAAGGCCACCCATTGATGAGCGTAACTTTATAAAGTCACAGGTTTTTATATAAGTATTCTTTTTTCACGTGTCGCAAAAAGGCTGGGAACAACAAGGTAAGCAAAGATCTGGCACATTTAAAATGTCCCTAGTTTAACTGGAACCTTACCAAGCATTAAAATGGCCTGAATGTGCAAAAATGTAAATATGACAACTTGAATTATGAGTTGAATCATTTTGAAAGCTTCATATTTTTAAAGTTTCTTAACATCATTTTTGTGTTTATGATGAAGTCAGTTTGAGGATGTTCATTTTGTTTACACATTCTCCTCCACACAGTTTTGTGAAAGTGGAGCCATGACTATTATAACAAAGTCTGGAAAAAAATATCAAAGATTTCAGAGCCCAGTTATAAAGGGAATCTGTTTATTTGGTCAAGAACAAGACTCAGACCATCGAGGAACTGAAGAGGTGGACAGTGAGGCTTTTGTTGGATTAAAAGCATGTGGGACAAATGTGAGCTGCACGGTGGTGCAGTGGGTTACCACTGCTGCTTTGTGAGAGTGCCCCGGGTTTGACTCATATCTGGGGTCTTCCTGTAGAGAGTCTACAGATCCTCTCATAAGCTACTGCTTATTTAGGTCATCATTTTCAACATCTACCATGAGAGTTATCGTCACAGTTTAGAACAGGGCTATTTAACTAATATGCTGAGGTGGGCACATGAAGACCACTAATATACGAGTTAACCTATTACTTTAATTCAGCTTCAGAATGAACATATCACAGCCACGTGTGAAGTTACATGTAATCTGCAGATATTTTAACTCTGTGCAGCCACACAATACCATGGTCAATTTCCCCAACTTGTGGTGACACATCCTGTTTTGGTAACCGGATATTTAAAATAAGTCTGATTCAGTACAGTAATTACAAAAACTTTTACTTTTGTATGGGAATGCAAAAGAAGAAAAAAAGCATGTCCCTTCTGGAGCACCATATAAGAGTTGTTCAGCCCTTTTCATACAAAACTATAGAAATTATTATTATTATTATTATGACCCCCGCACGCAAAGCGTAAATTTTTTCGTACGGTTTATTTTTGTATTTTTTTTCTGTGATTTTAGGTCAACCATAGCACAACAAAGGCTACACCAATCCACATGAAATTTGGCAGGACTGTAGATGAGTCTGACCTACACTGCGCCAGCCAACGATTTTACGATAGACCCCACATTTGAGGTGGGGGCTCTATCCAAAGACGTGGTGTCAGGACATGCAAAAATGCTTATAACTCAGAAACTGTTCAACATTAAAGCTTCAGATTTCTTTTGTTGTTCAGCTCTGATGAAGCTCTATCCATCAGGCCCACCAATCAGTGCCCCCAACCCCCCAGACCCCCAATTTATCTGAAAAAGGGGTATCTGGACATGCAAAAATGGTTATAGTTCAAAAACGATTAAACATAGAAGATTCAGATTTTATTTGGTTGTTTAGCTCTGATGAGGGGCTATCCATTAGGTCAACCAATGCCC